TATATATATATTATATTATATTATATATAATATTAATATATTAATAATATATATATATATATATTATATATATATATATAATATTAATATATTAATAATATAATTATTAATATGAAATTAATAATTATATTATTAACAAAAATATTCTAGTGCCACGGTTTCATATAATATTTACGTCACATTTAATATTTCGAACGCGGGTATTTTTGCGGGTGTTACGACACAGGTTGCGCCTCCCTCCGAGTTAAAGTCGCACAGTAACTGGCACACATCTACCCTACGCGTGAAAATGTATATCTCTTAAGTTCGAACGTACCGGTTCCTTCGCGGTCGCATCGCGCAGGGTAATGCCCGCGTCCAGGTCCTTGTGAACTACGGACGCGAGCTCTATCGTCTCGCGGTTGTCGGCCAGTTCGAGTCGAAATTCCTGCGCTAGGGAATAGGTCTCGTCGTCGTCGAAATCGGAGTCTATGCAGGACAGCATCGATTCGGACGCTGAATCCAGGGACAAGCAGTCCTTGCTCCGGCTCGACCTCGGTGTCCTCGGATCGTCCTCGTTGCACAACCGCCATCCGTAGTCGTTCTCGCTGAACGTCTCTTTTGATTTCGCCTCGCGATTCCCCCTTCCTTTCGCGAGAAACATCGTTAAAGGCCGGCGACGCGGGTCTTCCGCATCAATCTTCTCGGCGTCCTCCGATCGGCGGTGTAACCGAAGAAATCTGTAACCAATGCGAATTCGCGTACAGAGGCGTCGGCGTCGGTTGGCGCGGCCCGTTTCACGAACTTTCGTCGAACAGCCGTCCGTTTTCGTGTGTACCGTCAACGGTGTGCGCGGTTCCCGAGATGTCGGGACTAACCTTAGCAGCGGGAATGTCATCTCTATACCGGCCAAGAAAGAGAAACTGTCGCGTCGCCGAGCGAACGACGATCGGTCACTGATCGGGAAAGCGGTTTACCCAATTTTCCGCGCGATACGCGTCGCCCTCGTCCGCGCCGCCGCTATTCCATATATCGTCGAAAATCGTTCACTGCCCCGTCACGGCCCCGAGTCGGATGCGTGACGCAAACGTTTATCATCTCGAGTATTGTTTCACCAAACGAAACCGTGATAAACCGACGCGGCGGCCCGGTTGTTCCGTGAACGCGATAAACCGAATAAAGTGACGACGCGCGAGTGGAAGAAGAGGAGCTCCCGTATCCCGCGATCGAGGTGTAGGAGGGCGCACCGAGAAATCGAACGGTGGCCCAGTATACGTACACTTGGTCGGCTTCTGTGTCGGCGTACAAGCCACGCCGGAAACTTCTAATGCCTAAAGAGCCAGTGGAGCCAGGGCTGCCGATGATCGAACGATCTCCGCCGGCGGCACACGCGAAGCCTCCTAACCGAACGGAACGCCTTTTCCGCGGCGAGTCAATCTACTTTCCACGCGAATTAGGCTCATCGGTGTCGCGATACCTCGGTCACGATTTCTCATATTTCGCATACTACTGGTTTGACAGCCGTGCGAAGCGCTGTCACCGCTGCTCTTCCACTGTCTCCGTAACTCCGAAACGCCCATTCCATTGACCACCGGTCGTCATGGGGACACTAACTTAATAATCCATCGCGTATGTATTCCGCGTTCTTATTGCCCGCTTGTCGCCGCCGCGTCTTGGGTGTCGTTAACGTGTCGCGCGATACGTACATACGTATATGTATTCCCGAACGACCGGCGTCGATTAACGTTAAATGCGGGTGTTACGGCTCGCTCAACGGCCATCGTAATTTCATACTGTAACGAAAGCTAATTAACCCTTTGACCGGCCACCCGCACGCCGCCAGTAAAAAAATCATTAACATTGCGAAGCTAGCCACGTTGTCAGATAACGCGTACGAACGAGCGCGAAACGTGAACGCGTGTAACGATACTTGCAGCGACTCCCGTTGATATTCCGAAACTTTTCAAAATGCAAGTAACTTTCTTAGAACTGGGCTAAACGACTTGAATTTTCTTCTTTTTTAGATGATAGAGCGACCGGTCTACTAGACCGTAACTGGAATGCTTCTTTTTTTTTAATTTTGCCATTGTTCAGAACGACGAAAGAAAAGAAAAAACTCTCGTTTTTTAACTTTTTCATTCGAGCCTACAACGAAAATTTGGGGAACGTGTTTTATAGATCACGGTGAGTTGCATGCGTGTTGAAAATTTCACCGAAATCGGATGACCTTGGTACGAGCTGTAAACAATTAATAATCGAAAAAATCGTAGTTTTGTTTCGATTTTTGACACTTTCGACCAATAAGTGCGAGAAATTTGAAGTGTTTACAATCTTTTAACGGCTGTAGCTAGACTTTGCGTTAACCGATTACGATGAAATTTTCAGCATGCATATAATATACCGAGATCTAAATCCGAAAAGCATTCGTTAAATTTTCGTTACAGGCTCGGATAAAAAAAGTTAGAAAACAAGAGTCTTTTATATTGCTTTGTCATTCCAGGTAATAGCAAAATCGTAACAAAGTAGTTCGGTCATTGTTTAGTATACTATTCCCACTATCGTATAAAAAAAAATTCAAATCGTTTATTCTAGTTTTAAAAAAGTTATTGCATTATAAAAGATATCCGAATATTAATGGTAGTCACTGTAGAATTCGCGACGGAAAGATAACAAATAAAATCCCACTGTAAACATACATACGATGGATATCGCTATAAACATATGTGCATACGATGAATACCACTACAAACAAACATGCGATGAATACCTCCATTGAATTTCGCCAGTGTAAGCAATTTTATTTGAGATAAGAAAAGAATTTTTACGAAGATACAGTGCGACGAAATGATAGCACATTCGACTAAAGATTATATGTATATAGCAATCAATCAACGAACGACATTTAATGCTGAAATATCTTGTGGCTCCTTTGATCTAGTAATAGCCATTGGCTAAGAAAATATAATATATATATAATATATATATATAATATAATATAATAATAATAATATATATAATATAATAATATAATATATATATATATATATATATGATAATATATATATATTATATATCTTAACCTTTTTTTTTTGGCTAAGATTTGTAGGATTTTATTGACAGTTTTTTTCACTCTAATTGCCTCCACTCATCTTGAATACACGAGCACGTAGACGAGCGCGCAAACGCGTTCGCGATGAAAGATGATCGATCGGAAGTCGAGTCGAACCAATTTTACTATCGACGGAATCCGAATTACTGACAGCCACATGCGCGTTATCAGTGACGCACGATCGCGACGACCGCGATCTTACAAAGGATCGAACGTGCAATTAATCATAAGTTCTTGACATGATGTTCACTCACGTTTCACGGTATATCCGATCGTCGATTGGCACTGAAAATCTTGCGACCGTTTGACACAATTTTTCTTGTCGAACGCAAGAGAAACACAGTTTTCACGCGAAGGCTCGCAGCAAAGCGTTCACGGTTCCGGTGAATGTCATCGAACTAGCGTTTCGCTACGAAATCTTGCCTTCTGCGTCCAAATGCATACTAAACGACACGGATGAGCGACAAGCGACGCGACTCGACTCGACGCGACGCGGCGACGATCTTGCTTCACCTAGAACGACGGTTGTTCCACGCGACGAACGCCCGCAGTTTGTTTTGATATAACATAAATAAATACGGCAATCGGTGATAGACAATTGTTGCGGACAGACCCGGCGATTGGTTCGCGCGTTCACGGTTCCCCGAGAGTGCAGTTCGCCGCGATAGCTCGATGACCCTTTTGCGATATTTTTTGTTCGCAATGAGTCAAGACCAGAACCGCTTCCACCACGACCGATGATTTTTCCTGCTTGCTTATGGTCGACCCGCGTTAATGGTCGTAGAATCTATCGCGGTTTACGTAAATATTTCGACTTGTTCATTCTCTGTTTGCACCGTTCGCGTTTATTTAACAAGATTAAAGGCTCGCTTTCTCTTTCGATTCGTCGACGTAGATATGTTATCTTTAAAGGTTCGTTGTAACATGAAATCGTTCTTTAAAAGGGACGCTATAAATAGTTGGTAACATGACGCGTTAGTCCAAATAGAACGACATGGAAATATCGAAGCGTTTGCAGATCGCAGATGGGAGATAGAAAAGTTTTGTAATTTGTTTACCATTGATATGTGCTCGTTGAAGACTGCCAGTTAAATGAAGTCGTTCGAGCACATAAGTATACGCATAAGTAGGACTAAGGAAATATGCTTTCCAGAATGATGAAGTTGCTTTCATGTTAACTAATGTAACATATCTGTGCATTCGGTGTTATGCAGAATTCAAACTGAATTATTCAAGGAATTATAATTACGAAATAATTGAATCGCATTATAATACAATCGTATTGTAATTCGTAATTCATATCTCCATTCAATTGAGGTACAATGTAATTCATGATTGCAATTGGAGCACAATTGCAAAATACCAAGTAATTAGATTACATTAATTACGAATTATGATGTGAGATTAATTTATCTTCTATTAATTAAGATCAAGAATTACGACGTAATTGAATTAAAATTACGACCCGAGGAATAATAATATGTCAATAGGTAATTAGAGAAGAAAATACGCAGAAGAGACAAAAACTGAATGTACGAATTTGAAGAATTGTACTTCAATTGTATTGTGTATCAATTACACTCGTGATTAAATATGTTATTAATATAACATAATATACTCAGAAAAATTGCGTTACATGATACATACTAGCTTTAACACTAGAACTACTAAACAAGTAAAAATGACTTATTTCTGATTTTGTTCTTTTACAATAACTGCTATTATGAAATCGTTTCCACGAGAACTTTTGAGATAAACTTCGTATGACATCCAATATCAATTTTCTTTTTTATATACGAATTTATTAACCGTCTAAGTTGTATGCCATTTTGAGAACGCGCAATCTATAACAATGTTATAGATTTAAAAAAAAGCACTTTATTCGATAATACATTACAATTTAACAGCAGATCTTTATGCAAAATAAGAATTCCCGATTCTGATTGCAATAAATAGGAGTCGAATACAAATTTATCTTCATTCTTAACATTTTTTTTTAACGAGTTGAAATTAATTCAACAACATTGTTAAATTTATCTCTGCAATTACCAACTTGTGTTCTACCTACTTACTTTTATTATAAATGCGTAAAATTCGCAGTATAATTATAATGAAAGTAATTGTAAATTATAATCGAATTTTGTTACTGTTAAAGAACAATATACATTAGTCGCGCTCAGAGCTCGACAGTTCTAGTCTTAATTATTTTTAAACTGCAAGTAAACTGCAAAGTATGCTTGACAAAAGTAGCGCAACGTTTATGTTGTATACTGCTGTTTACGTGTACTTTCTACTTTATCTCTCCTTTTATGTTCTAAAGCATTCTAATATATGTTAAAATTACAAACATGTCTGTTTGTTTCATCTAAATCTTATCTTCATAACAAATACAAGCTTTTTACAACATAAATTTTGGAAGAGTTTCTTGATATACTTCGTTATTTAAACATATATAATAATCGAAATCAGACAAAGTTGAAATAAAACCAATATTTTTGTAAATAGTATTGTTGTAAAACAGTAACCACTAGTTGCGTATAAACATAGGCGAGAGTCAAAGTGTTTAATTTGTGGTATTTATAAAAAATACAATCTACCATGATATCTTTATGTGATTTATTCATATTACGTTATACGATTTTTATGAGGCATTCGCATAATATGAATACAATATAATATCATAAAAATAATATAATAAAAAGTAGATATTTTTAACGCTATATTTTCTCATTTTAATCGGCCTTAAAAGAGTTAAACGAGCTCTCACTCTACGTACATGTATATTTCATAAATTAAACTACAAATATCGACGATATTTCATGCATAATTATTTTTCTACGCGTGCAGGAAGCAATTGTAGAAGCAGTTCGACGATTAAATGACAATTCGATCAAACATGCGCCGACAGCTATGTTCACAATGTTACAAGTATCGAGCACGTATCGGAGAGGATCGACACTCGAGTTCTTTTCAGGAATGCGTTGGATCAGGAAAAATCGTGCGAGATAAGCAAAGTAGCTTGCACCGGACAGAGAATGAAAATTTCAACGAAGCAAATGCGCACCGTAATGGTGGACGCCGCGCACGCGTCGCAGGCGACGCGGCACGATTCAACGTGCTGCGAACGATAGCGCGTCCGAGGTAGATTGTCTTTCAAGTTTTTGCTATTTTATAGAAGTCAGCCTGTAGTCTAGGGGTACGATTCACCACCGTGAAAATCTAATATGTGGTTTGAAACGGGTATTCGAGACTACAAGCTGATTTTCAATTTTTTCCGACGTATTTTTACGGTCAAAGGTCGAGGATGTTCGGGGGTACGCGGCGCTGTTAAAAATGCGAATTTAATTTCGTTTTTAGGACGAATATTCATGAGCGTGACGTCAAAAGGCCTTGATCGGGGATAAAAGTTGGCGCATCAGCGATAAGCGTTATCGATACGGCCGTTGCAGTCAGGTGTAACGGGTGTTTTGTACGTTATTCGAGTAATCCGCGAGCAGGTCTCTGTCGCGCGATAGACGCGCCTGAGTGCATTCAACTCGTTCTCGTCTTTTTGTCGCGGGTCAACAGCATGCAAATAGACACCGCGCGTTCGACAAAAAAAGAATTACGATCCAACGGTTATATTCGACACTTTGCGAATCACACCGTGTACGTGCAGAAGCAACGCCGCTACCAGTTTCCGATTGGCTGACCTTCCTCTGCCAATCGCGGCGATTATCTCTGCGATTGATAACGCGAATTAAATCAGGCGTGATTCATGCAACGCTACGTGTGAAACCGCGTAGGTGAATTTCGCGGTTGAAGAAAAAGAAAACACAGGATACTGTTCCCGGCGATGTAAACTAACACTCGAGCGCAAAACGTAACACCTTTCGAGCCTTCGTTTCAGCAAAACATAGTTAAATCGTTCGTTTATTTCTGCCGGAGATCGTTATCTGCGCAGAGCTCGTTTCACCTCGACTTTCACTTTCTGGTCGGTTCCAAAATGTGTTTGACACGCGTCGGTGTCTGATGAGCATGTTTAACCCTTCTGTTCGTAACCAAGCGATACAGTAAATTCTCCCTAATTGACCCTCAGCTTGTACACAAATATGGACAATTTTGGAAGATGAGATACGATTGTTCGAGCCTTGCGGCTCATTTTT